TTATCGATATATTTCTTTTCGAAATTGTTACTATCCTTGGTTTCGCTCTTATCGATATATTTCTTATCGATGTCCATATCGAAATCGTGGCGATCGATATGTTTCTCATCGACATCGATATCGGCATCGTGACGATCCTTGGAATGGCTGTTATTGGTAGTAGTATCGTTGGTATCAGTATTGGAAAGAGTCTGAGTGTGAGTATTCGTGTTTGTCGTATTTATCAGAAAGTTGATTGGTGCTTGTGGTCCTGCTGGTCCTGCTGGCCCCTGTATACCTTGGTCACCTTTGTCACCCTTGCACCCTCTTGGTCCTTGTGGTCCTTGTGGTCCTGGGACGGGTTTGAAACCCATGCACTTTTTGCAGCCATGACACTTTTTATGTTTGGGTTTGCGAAGTGGTTCAAGTGGCAACGAATCTTGAATACTGTAAGTGGAAGACATTAAAAGCGAAGTTTGATAGCAAAACTAGTATGAAAGACGAAAAAGCAAACAAGCAAAATTTGTTATTGAGAAAGATATCAATACAATAACTGATTGAAAACAATTTATATATTTCACTTGATAGAACACCTCCTTTTATATGTTTTGGAATACTTTTGTGGCAACCTATTCCAATTCAATAGGCCGCAAAATCAGAATTTATATGATATCTGCTCCTCATAATATATGCAGGATTGTAATCTAGCCGATATCTCGTTGCATTTATCAAGGGTTCTGTAAAAGGTGTGTATCGTTTTATGTTACAACTAGTATTAGTGAAAATTGTCAGTAGCTATTTAATTGACGCCAATTCTCTTTATCATGTCATCAATAGCATTAGTTTAAATTTACAATTTCGTCAAATAACGGATTGAGCGACATAAAGTCGAATTGGTAGAGGACGATATAAAATAACATTCATGATCATGATTTTGTCAATAATAAGAATGGATATTCAGCACATTTTAATTCGCGTTAGGGATATCTAATCTTTTCAATATGACAAGGGGCACGTCTATCTTTTCAGTAATTCTTTCTTTCTTGTTCTTTCTTTCAGTCACTATATTATCGCCCGGTGTGAACTTTGCATTGAAATTGTGATTTAATTCGTTCACTTGTAGTAAGTTGTTTAGTATTTCCGTAAATGTTTCTGAATTGAAAAGACCGTTATTTGTTTCCAAAAAAATTTTATCTTGATCGTGAACTATGGAATAGATGTATAAATGAAACAAATGTAACTGTAGCAAAATATTAGCTTCTTCATTAAATAATTGTATTATGTTTAAGTTGTCAAAATTCTCTAATATTAACGAGCATATATGCTTCTTGTTTCCTACATCTTCGCTGTAGTCATAAGAAACAAAAGGAGAATTTCTCCTTTTGCTCATCGTTTCTGAATTGTCTGAATTTTTACCAATATATTGAACATTCAATCTAGTTTCTGGTAGTTGTATTAGTTGATTGTTATTGTCTAAACCATCATCCTCTTCGCCATAATCGTACTCTATTAATTTTCGTTTTCTTTTTCCCTTTTTACCATCCTTGTGATTTGATCGGAGTTTGGAATTATACTCTATTATCCTTAGTCTATCGTTACGATCTTCGTTATCCTGAATGTTGGCTATTGTTAATGCTTGTTCCTTATGTTTGCTTGTCCTATTTGTTACAACTGGAGTAGGAGTAATCTCGGAATCGCTATCATCATCTGCATGTTTATTAATATCGCTAGGTAAAGCATTTTGTTTCCCTTTAACTATATCAATATTCTTCCTTTGCTCATTGGACATTGATTTTTCATCCTTATAATTATTGAAAACGATGGGGGTCTTAATATTTTTTCTGCGAAATTCAAATTTTGTTTTTACATGTATTTAAAATATACAAATACTTTACCTACTTACCCTTTCAAGAGGCCTATATTATTTTTTTTTTACTTCATAAAACAATAACCTGTCAGCTGTAATTTCAAAGTTTCATATTCATTGGAAAGATTGTAATTCACATCCATATAGAACTTATGTAATCTTTTAATTTTGATTCCTTTTTCCTTCACTGTTACAAGTCCACCATCGAAACATTATTCCCTCAAGACAGCATAAGGGAGTTTTTTGGAGCATTATTTTTATTGAGCAGGACACCGTTGGTTATATTTAAATTTATTCAACAACCCATCTAGACCATACAGTAGTTGCAAATCCTTTCTTAAAGACTGAAGTTGGCAATTACCGTAGATTGATTGTCGCATAGACCATCGTCACTTGCTCAAAACTTTGTTGGTTGTGGCGTTTGACATGGATCTGGCCCTGGCTTTGCCCATAACCTATGACAACCAAAAAAACGACATCTTCTAATCAAGAACATTCTAAGTGCATACAAACCGAAATGAGAATGTTCAAGGCATTCACAAGTCAAATTGCAAAATTCTTGTTTACAAATTAAGCACCGTCTAAACCTGTCTTCGCAATCGAACCATTTGTGAACATCCCCTACACAATGTACACACTCATTACTTGGGCAGTTTGGACCTTCACAAACTAAACAATCTTGAATGTTGCCTGTGCAAACTCCAGTTTTCTTAGGTTTGAACTTGCATTCTAAGCTCCCAGTACATTGTTGCTCGCATTCAAAGTGCTTCGATTTGTGCTTCCAATTACCGAAGTTTGATTTTTTTCCTTGAACGAAATTACCTTTCTCCTTCTTCAACTTGTGCTTGGATTCAAAACACTTAGCAGGAAAATGACATTCCTTAAGCGGTTTATGTTTGCAAATAGGCTTTAATTCAGAACTATCCGCACCAAAATCACATTCTGAAGAAGAAGAACTCAGGCACGAGTCACTTGAAGAAATATCCAGGCACGAATCACTTGAAGAAGAGGAAGAACATTCGTCTTTATTCAGCTTATGCTTGCACCATTTCTTCAGTGGTTTATGCTTCCAAACTGGCTCACAAACAACACATTTCTTATGCGGCTTGTGCGTGGAAGTTTCTGGGTTAGTAGGCTGCAAACAATGACCACTTTGAATATTGAAATCTTGTCCTTCAATAGGTGTATGATGAATTTCTTGAGTAGAAGCCATTATAAAGCAAAATCGATAATAAAATTAGTAAGAAAGGTGAAAAGCAAATAAGTATATATGATATTGAAAGATATATCGATACAATAACTTGACTTCATGAAGAAATATTTCTTTTGCACTTCGATTGTTCCTCCTTTTATATCTCTATCTCTTGTTACGTCTGTGGCTGCAACAGCTACAGTAGGCCGCAAAAACAGATTCTGATAGGTCGTGTAATGATCAAATATTATAGAGCCTGAAAATATTTATTAGACTATTAATTCGATGAAGGCTTTATCATATTCATTCTTCAAATATCCAAATCCAAGAGTTCGGTGCTAAGATATAGAGGGTTGTAATCGCAAATAACGTTACACATTTAGGTATCATGACTGGTGGCGATCATTCTTCGAATAATACACCAGTGAACCACGAGCAAAACCAGCACAACACCCCACTTCAGAATCCAGCACATTCCATACCTAATGGTGCCAACACAAACAGTATGAACGACAATAAAAATAATGCAAATGCTATTGGCAATAATAATCAAGGATTGCAACCGCCTGGTAATGGCAACCCTAACGAGTTTGGATTGTCTCCGCAGAATTATTTCGACTCGAATTGGGCATCTAGTTTGCTAATGGATCCTAATAGCGATATATTGTATAATATGGATTTTGATTCGCAGGAGAACCTAGCAACAGCCCATCCAATGATTTATCAATCCCATACGCCAGCTGAAAACATTAATACAAAACTGGGTCTTACAACTTCGCAGCCACCATCGATTAATGGGCCGAGACCCCAAGAACACCAACTGCCACAAGTTTCCCATACACCATCAAGTTTTACGCCTAAAGCGCAACGAGCTTATATTCAAGCACAGCAGAATATTCCTCCGCAACAGAACAAAAGCACCAAACAACGTCGCCCTTGTGATCACTGTAGAAGAAGGAAGACGAAATGTGTGATCATTCCTAATACAAACAATTGTGCCCAATGTGAATCCAAATCGTTGACATGCACATATGTGGGGCTGGCATTGAAGAGAAAAACTGGTTATGACTCTGATAGTGATTCTAAAAGAGTTAAAACTACGAATGAAAACCCCAGCGAAAATAGACTTGGTAACGAGCATACGAATAATCCATCCATGGGCCACTTACAAAACGATCATTCAACAATAGTGGCTCCAAATGTTCCAATAAGAGATGTCGCCCCTGTTCGCGATTATTCCTCAATAAATAACTCATTGTTGCAAAAGACATTATCCTTACAATTCCCTAGATCGAGTTTCTATGTTGGTCCAACATCATATTTGTATGATACAAATTTATTAAATTTGATTATCGATTCACAAAATAAGGCAAATGATCCTAATAAAAATAATGTTGCAAGCAATGGTTCCGGTAAAATTGAACAAGTGAATTTAAGTAATTCCACATCTTTAAGGAAAGTTAGTGATAATGCTCAATTTATTTTGAAAGATGACCAATCTCCTAGTTCATATCAAAATATGTCTAATGATGTAGACACTGTTGAAAAGTTTGTCGCTCCTCATGGTCAGATATTAATTGATTTATATTTCCGTATAATACATCCATCATACCCAATACTTCATAAGAAAGTATTTTTGGAAAAATATTCAAGGACGCATAGAGAATTTAGTGCACCACTATCAGCTGCAGTTTATGCTTTAGCTATACAATGGTGGGATTACGATCCGCAATTGAATAAATTTCCTAAGCCAAATGTTGATTTAATTTTGAAAGTTGGTTTGAATAATTATTTGCTAGAAATCTTGAAAAGACCGAAACTAAGTGCTGTACAAGCTGGTTTATTATTACTACAATGTAAGCACATAATTCAAAGCAATAGTGAGCGAGATATCCAAGCATTGAAAAACTCAACTAACGCAAATACACCAACTCTGACGAGTGACTCGCACTACAGTGATTGGGTTTTGTGCTCTCAAGTTATAACGTTAGCTGAAGAACTAGGATTGGGCTTGAACTGTAATGATTGGAAATTGCCTAAATGGGAAAGAGGTTTGCGTAAAAGGCTAGCTTGGGCAGTTTACATGGAAGACAAATGGCTTTCATTAAAAAATTCTCGTCCATCCCATATTAATGAACTTAATTGGGTCGTTGTTTCTTTGGTAGATGAGGATTTTCCTGAGAAGCATGGTGATGGAGACTTGAAAGAAGGTTCTTCGGATATTGAGAATGGAAAGAAAATATTTATGAATTTGATTAATTTAACGATGATCCTATCAGATATTTTAGACAAGCTTTATTCTATGAAGGCTATGTCTGAAATTAACGATATTGCTCAAGTTTTACAAATTGCAAAACCACTTCAACTCAAATTGCGTAACTGGTATCACTCATTACCTATTGAGTTACAGATGAGTTCTGTGCAACCAAGGAAATTATGTTCAAATGGGTATTTACAGTTGGCTTATTTTGCTACAGAATTAACTTTGCATAGAAAAATAATCACTACCATATTCTTGCAATCTTTAGAAGGAAATCCGCCTCCGAAGGAATTAGTTGAAGTATGTCGTACTGCGGCAAAAACCAGGTTGACGGCATCCATTGAATTTGTTAGAGATTTAAAACCTGAGCATATGCATTCTTTCTGGCATTCTTCTTCTTCTTCCAATTTTACGTTAATCTGCACTTTTGCTGCTATTTTGTATACGACCTCGTCAAGTAAAGAAGAATCGGATTTTTACAAGGACCAAATATTCAACTATAGATGGATATTGAAAATATCTTCCAAAGGGTTTGATCGTATATGCGATGTCTTGCTGGAATTAGACACAGTTTTAAATCACATTCCTGGCTTATTAAATGATAATTCAGACTTGCCAATGATGCCCTCTAATGAATCGGCAAGTGGATATAATCATCCTCAAATACAGCAAGAGATACCGCCGAATAATTCACAGTTCTCATTTAGAGATACATCGCTGTACCTAAATTTCAATAGACCTAGTTCCACGATGTATAACAACCAAGACATTGATAATAACGGCAGTAACAATAATGACAATAGTAGGATGAAAAACTCGTCCCATAAACAATATATTAACAGACAGGGAGACGATTATGATTCGCCCTACAACTCGCCTCTGAATCATTCATCTACCCCATATTCAAGTCAAGGACAGCATCATCTACAAACTGGAAATCATATTTCATCAGTTCTGCATCATACACAAGACCTATCCCCTAAGACTATGATAAAGCAACAATTGCCATTGGGCACAAATATCACAGAAAATGAATCAAGAAGAGCTATTTCTGGTAATTCGCCTGTCGATAATCATATACTTACCGGTATGAATTCTAATGTGAATAGTAATCATATCAAACACACACAAAATACACAAAATATTTGTCCTACGAATAATAATGGAAATATTTCTGATTTGAAATCAGATAAGGATGAAAGAAGATGAAATTGATTTATCTAATCATGTATATATGGGTTAAATTAGGAACTATTGGTAAATAATTTCGTATATAGGTACGTTCAATTCAATATTAAAATATTCTACCAAATTAAGCTATAAAAGGAAATAAAGTTTTCGTAGTGATCAAGAATTTAATCAAATGGGGTCAAGTAGGCCTCAGCGATAACTCTAGCTCTAGCATTCAAGAACAATTTCATTTCACTAATTTCTTTATCAACATCTTCCATAAATTCTATGATGAAATCAACCAATTTGTCCTTCAACATTTGTTCAGTATGGAAGTTAGTAATCAAGAAAGATATATCGTATCCCTTTATAGGGACTCTTCTTAAAATAAAGAAATTTTCGGCCCTCGAAGTTAAAAACCTGGTGAACTTATGAACTAAGATCTGCTCTATTTCATCTGCTTGTTTGATCTTTATAGACACTCTAACTGAGTTTACAGAGGGCTCAATTAAGATTTTTTCGTTCTCGTTTCTAGCTATTATCATGGGATTTAATATCAATTCAGGGTTGTGACTATTATCAACTTCTATCTCTGGTCTGTTATGTCTTTCCACTAATTGTGAAGAAAAGTCCTCCAAACATATTGCTGCAGTCAATGAAGATCTAACAGCTGTTAAGTATGGTTTTAATGATTGTGACTGATGTTTGATTAGTTTCTATTATACAATATCATTTGATCAATTAAATCAATTCAATTTGACCGAATCTGATTGAACAATTAATAATTATTTTATAAATATTACATACCATCCTTGTATTTTCAATATATAATCTAAAGCTATTGATTGAATAGTCGTTTTATTACAACTAAACCATTCCAGACTATAGGTTTTACCCAATACATTGAAATAATGATCTTACAGGCACGACTAGCTATATGCAGACCTTCATGATTTTTATAATACTCGTATATACTATAGACTAATAATTCAATAAAACTGGGTTATGCTTAGGACCATCGGGCTTTACAGTAGCATCTGTTTCCTTGCTTTCTGGTTTAAACCTTTTTGTATCTGTATGATCCTCTCTGATCTGTCGCTTTCTATTAGCGTATGCAGATTTTTCATTAGAAACAGACGTACTGTCATTCAATAAGTTTACCAACCCATCTACAGAGCCTTCGAGAGAATCTTCAATGGATGTTTTTATGCCCTTATTACTAGCCAATTGTGTTGTGGTTTCCAATTTCCTATACTGGTCGACATTTTGAAATTTTGATTTGAATAAAGATTGTAGAGCATGCTTATCAATAGTGTTCACAGCATACTTAGAAGGGCTATTCAGGCTTTCCTTTATCAATATCGCAACTGAATAACCATCAGAAGTTTCCGAATCGTGAGCTATAAATTTTATTATATCATGTTTGTCATGATTAGAAAAGAGCCAGTGCGCAAGTTCATCTTTCCTTTGTTCCAATTCCATCTTATATCTGGTTTGCAACATTTCATTCTTTAAATCGTAGTCTCTTTTCAAATTATCAAATATTATTTCTAACTCATTATCCTCCTGCGCCTCGTTACTCAACTTGAAGTCAAATGCAGATAGTCTTTCATCTTTCAAATCTGCTAAACTATTAATGAAATTCTCTTTACTGCTCAATAATTGATCATAGTTATACTTTGGGTTATTTTTCAATCCTGAGAGTGTATTTTCGACCAAGTCTTTTTTTAATTTCATAACCTGGTATTTTTCATCCACTACATCCCAGAAAAAATCCAATGGCGATGATCCATTTCTACCGCATAACTCTATAAAGCAATCTTCATTCTCTAGAAGCGGGAAGATATTCTCAAAGAGTGAGTTAGCATTGATATTAATATTACTTAAGAGGAACTCTTTAAAACTTTGTCTTGCCTTCCTATCGGATCTGTAATTCTTCTTTTCAATGCTTGTGATTTCATTTTTCAATTTACCAAGAATATGCGGATATATATCCGTTGTATATAATTCTAAAATATCAACTTTGCTCAACACTGTGAAATGTTTATTAGCTTTAAAACGGGCATCGTTCTGTAAGTTGCTATAAAGCTGATCCCAATTCTCGCTATCCGACACTAGATTTGGGTTAATCTGCGTTAAGTATGACTTCAATTCATTTAACGCTTGTGCTTTTTGCTGTCTAATCGATTCTTCACGAGCTTCTTTTAATCCATTTACAAACTTATCATAAATCTTCAAAACTTCATTATCTGACAACACAGAGTTTTTGAAAATAGGGTTTTCTTCCGCTATCAATATATTCTTAATCGTTATCCACCGGGTATTATATTTTATGAGACCTTTCTTTTCGAAATTTTGTAATACCTGCAAAAAATTTCTTTCAAAATTTTCTACAATAGCACTCTTGTTAGTTAATTCATCCTTTAATTTTTGGACCAAATATTCATCATATAATCGTCTTCTATGCAAAGCATCGGGAATAGCCCAATAAATTGGGTTCTTTATGAATTTAGAAATTACCTCCTGAAAAGACCATGTAGAATCCACACTATTCGATTTTAATAGACTTAAGAAAGCATCTTCAGCTTCTTGATAGGATTTGAATTGAGGTGGTTCTATTAATTCGTTTCGAATGGTTGATTTTTTCTCTAATTCAAGGTCAAGAGATGACAAAGATTTTGTCTCATCTGAACTTGGTTTATCCTTCTCGTTATACGATTCATTATTCTCATGTTCGACAAAATCTATTTTATCTTTATCCCCCAATGATTCTTCAAAACCTTCAGGTATTTCCCAGGTGGTTTCTCCAGTATTTTCGTTATGGTAATATTGTCGTCCATCATCGGTTGTATAAGCTTTCCAATCGCATGTAGTGTCTAATGGCTTGGTCCAACTTGTTTCTTGTGTAGTCTTATTATAATAATATATCCTCCCTATATCATCTGTTACTTCTTCCCAGTTATTTGACATATTGTTACTTCTCTATATAACAAAGGATATTGAATTGGTTTTCTGCCAAAAAAGATGAATTCAGATAAAAGCTTCGCGTTTCTGAAATAGTAAGCCAATTTCCTTATGGTACAAAGTTTTTTGAGGACCTCTCACATTTTGTATTGTGGCAGAACAGCCAATATCCCAACTCGATTTTCAGCGTAATAAGTTCGATTCCTACATGCGGTATACCTGTATTCTCATTTTGTTTTTGCACCCTAATGTCACAAATAAACATATAAACTACAATTTTCTGCATCAGTTCAGAAACATATACTATCTCATATTTAAGTTATCTGATACCAATCCTGAATAACGATGGTAAAGATTGTATACACAATTTACGAATTGTTGCATTTGAGGCATTATGAAGTTGTAGATTTGAAGAAAGAGTTAGCAAAGATCCTTCTCGACACAAGCAGCAACAAATTTGGAAAAGGACACCCAAATATTAATAAACGTTTGACGAAATCTAAGAATAATTCTGGAAATTGTACTTATTCTAACGGATATACTCCTTACTTCATGAAAGAGAATAAGTTTGCTCAAGACTACTCGTATGATAGGCGAATTTCTGGAATAAAGATACCACCACAAAATTTCAAAGACAATGAATTGGCGTTATCGGCAACAATTAATAATAATAATAATTATTACGATACACATATCCAATATCCTTTTTTTAACTTGCTGATGTTTCCACCAGGATCAAGAATAATTCGTATCGAACCTGGTAACCCGTTACCAAAAGGTGCAATACCTATCCCGTTCCGATTCGAAGACGAATTTGCTAAACCTTCTGATTCCATTAAGCAGGTTAACCAAAAAAGTTGTTGCATAAATGAATCGCAAAATCATGCCACCGATAAGATCAAAAATAAAAAATATAAAAATAGTTCTATTAAACCAAACTCGAATAGAACAATGGATTTTCGAACCTCCAAAGATAGAAAATACACACCTGCTTTGAACCCATATTCTGTTACAGGATTTTTTCCCGAACGTGAAGTTGTAGATGATATCACTATGCCAGAAAATGCTAGTACATGCAACCACCAGAAACCTTTCAGTCATAATCTATCAAATACAAGTCAAACAAGCATTAATGATACTGATAGTTCAACGACTGTTGGCTCTTCATCGTGTGACAGTTATAATATACAGATTCAAATCTCTGCTACCCATTAGCTTCTTTGCCTATATACTGAAAAAAAAGCTGAAAATTTTTAAAAAATACATAAAATACAAAAAAACGAACATAAATACATAAAAATTAATTAAAATTATAAGCGACAAATATTCCTCTTTAGTATTTTAAGTCTAATAAATTCCTACAACAAGTATAGTTTACAGTAGATAAATGTATGAAATTGATTGTAAAATGCCTATGGCTTATTCCGTACATTAGCAACCATTTTCTGAGAGCTCTCACGTGAAAATTCCATTATTAACGAAAATTAAAACCACAGGTGATGATGATGATGATGATGATGATGATGATCTAGTTCAACATCGGCTCTACATATGTATGATTGATATGTATAAAGAAGGTACACAATTTTCAGTGAGTGAATACGAGTGGCATTATTTGAACTTAGAATTGTAAGTATATTTGATAATGAAATGCATTGAGTAAATACAACATGAACAATTTCTTGGAAAGCGTGCTAACATTTAATAGAATATTAGATCAACAGTTTATAAAAGACAACAAGGATAAATTCAATGACTTAAAAATAGACTGGATAACCTGGAAATCAATTGTTCTAGGTAGCTTGGGAAAGCTATATGGCTTAGTAGGCGAAGCATCTCATTTTGATATTTTGCAATTACAGGAAACAAAACCGGCAATAAGGCTGGTAATACGAATCCAGCGTGAAGATAAAGATAAATTTATCAACAGTTTTATGGCATTTACTTTTAAATTAAGCAAATTCACTGGGGGTGATTATGATGTCAATTGTTACGTTCGTGTTAACAAGAATAATGATCATTTAGGTCTTGTGTTAGATAAGTCATTTGGATGATATTAATAAAGAGATAGATGTGATTAACAAGTTCTATATACTATACAAGACTTATGTCTAGTATTTCTGCTATCGATAGAGTTGTACGTGAATTTATTTATATTTTGGTTACCTAAATACATGCTGACTTATTCCTACCCATAAGATGTGGAAGAATATGAGGCGTATGAAGAGAAGTATATTGATGAAGGAACACGGGTATTTGTAATACACTTAGTATAATACGTTTAGTCTATAGTTGTAAATAATAATTGTAACGATAAAAGAATAAGCATTTCACGTGATTTATTGATTTTACTGACTCGAGAGGTTGAATTCACGCCAACATGTCTTTTAGTAGGGAGGCATTGATAAAAGATATATATACATTTAACTATCACCAAATAAACTTTATTCTCGTTGATCGTGCTATAAAGTTCAATATATTAATATCAAGAGATATTTGGGAACTATAATGAGAATTGAGTCGAGGCTGTGGAGTTCCATAGCTTTTCTTTTCACACTCTTTATCGCATATGTTGTATCGGAGTCCAATTACAAGCCTGATATAAAATTGACAAAAGAAAGTGAAATAGCGAAAGAATATAACTACTTTGATGATTCTTCCAATATTTTGGTATTGAGGAAAGATAAACTTGCTATTTCATTCGATGATGGCGTAAGTTGGAAGAATGTAAAGGAAACAGAAAACGAAAGAGTGATTCGCTACCAGTTTGATCCATTTAATAATAATCGGGCATTTGCTTTTACTATCGATAAATTCCAGTACGTAACCAATGATAAGGGTGAAACTTGGTCCAAGTTTGAAATCTATGACCCCAAGAATGAAAAAGAACATTTGACTTTAAATTCAATTCCCCATATTTTATTCAATGCAAAGAACCCTGATTTAGCCATGTTTGTTATTTTCCATTGCCCAGAAGATAAAAAGATTTCAAATCAATGTGTGAATTACCATTTTTTAACTACTGATGGGTTTAAATCTAATCCAAAATCTTTGCAAACGGATGCAAGTATATGTACATTTGCAAAATCGACTAAGTCGTATGATGTGGGTAAGGATGAAACTATTTATTGCTCGAGGAATAAGCTTAATTCATTTGGACACATTGTTGAATCCTATATCATTGCATCTGATGATTTTTTCAAAACTGAATCTAAGATTAATCATGCGTTGGCAAAGTCAGGATCAATAATTGACGTTCGAGTATTACAAAATTTTGTTATTGTTGTTGTACAGAATGACAAATTCAATACGAAGTCTAAAGTATCTTTACTAGTTTCGAAGGATGGTGAAAGTTTTAACGAGGCGGACTTGAAAGTGGATATTTCTTATGGTATAATGACATTTTTGGAATCATCGTCACTGTCAATATTTCTAGCAGTTATGGATTATTCTAATTCTTTCCGGAAGTTTTCATTGTCCACAGTATATGCCTCGGATTCAAGTGGCTTAAGTTTTTCAAAGGTATTAGATAAAGTGCAAGGAGGGTCTATCCAGAAAGTTGAAACAATAGACGGCGTATGGTTGGCAAATATTGCGGACGAAATCAAGGACAATAAGGGGAAGAGTAAGACCTTGCTTGATATGCTTATGGGGGGTGGTATTGATAAAAATATAAAAAGTAGAATTTCGTATAATGATGGAGAAGACTGGAACTTGTTGAAAATCAACAATGACGATTCTTGTACTGTTGAAAGTGAATGTTCATTACATTTGTTAAACCCTACTGAAAAAAGTGGAGATGGTAAATTTGTAACTGGTCCAACTCCGGGAATCCTACTTAGCGTAGGTAATAAGGGTAGTAAACTTGAAAAAGACATCATTAAAATGAACACTTGGATATCCAGGGATGGTGGAATTTCTTGGGATTTTGCATTGGATGAGCCATGTTTATTTTCTTTTGGCGATCAAGGTAACATTATTGTGGCGATTCCATACTATGGAAAAAATAAGCTGAATTCCTCCAACATGTACTTCTCATTAGATCAAGGTAAATCATGGCAAAATGTCGCATTAGAAATACCTATTTTTCCACTTACTTTAACTACTACTGTTGACGGCACTTCGCAAAGATTTATTCTTTCTGGCCTAATCGATAGCACTCCAAAGGATCAAACAGATTATTCATTTGCTGAAACCTTATATGCTATTGATTTTAGTAAAGCTTTTGGCGGCAAAAAATGTGATTCAAAGAAAGATTTGGAAGATATATACACTAGACTCGACCCTAGCAATGATAAACCAATTTGCATTTACGGACACAAAGAAAAGTTCAGAAGAAGGAAGCAAAATAGTCAGTGTTTTGTCAATGAACTATTTGAAGATGTAAAAGTCTACGATGATCCATGTGAATGTGCAGTGATTGACTTCGAATGTGCTATTGGCTTTTCAAGGTCGAAAGAAAACGAATGTAAGCCAGATAAAAAGAAGCTTGCAAATATATGTCGTGATAAGAAATCGAAAAAGATATCTTTGCCTGACAAAGTGTTAGCATCTGGTAATAAGTGTAAGAATCCAAAAGAAGCTGCCAAGGAATTTGTTAAAACAAAACAATTTAAGTGTAGTGATTATTTGGATGAGGATGACAAAGATAAGAATAAAGGTAACAAGCACGATATTGTTTCCACCTTCAATGAATTTGACAGTGAACTCCAGCAATATACATATGTTGAGCAGGGTGAAACCTATAGTGGAGAAAACATAATCTTAAGGACCAAGGCGAATGTGGCTTATGCATCGAATAATGGAGGTGTAGAATTTGTCAAAATTCCTGTGTCAGACGAAATTGTAACTTATTACCCAGGATTAGTTCCAGGCCAAGTTATTTTAATAACCGATTCCGAAAAGTTTTATTTTTCCATCGATGGTGGTAATACTTTCCAGAAGAAAACTGCTCCCGCTAAACCAAATGCTATTGGTGCACGTATAATATCCTTCGATAAGAAGGATACAGAAAAATTTATTTGGTATAGCAGCGAAAATTGTGACAATCCATTTAGTCGTGATTGCAGTTTGGTGGCCTATATTACAGAAGATGGAGGGGAAAATTTCCAGAAGTTGAAAGAAGATGTTAGAAGTTGTGACTTTGTAGCTGATGTATTTGAAGGTGTTTCAGATGAAATAAAAAATATGATATATTGCACAGTTGAAGATAAGTCTAGTAGAAAATTGATGCTATTGTCTTCGACTGACTATTTTAAACAAAGTAAGAAAGTTTTTGATAATGTTGTTGGATACGCCATCACAGGAAACTTTCTTGTTGCTGCTACGATAGATGACACAGAACAATCTCTAAAAGCAAAAGTGACAGTTGATGGGCAGATTTTTGCCGATGCAGACTTTCCTCCAGATTTCCATGTTGACTCTCAACAAGCGTATACAGTTTTAGATTCAGCATCAAAAGCGATTTTTATTCATGTGACTACAAATAATGAAAATGGTCATGAGTTTGGTTCAATTCTAAAGTCGAACTCAAACGGAACTTCATATAGTTTAACCTTAGATAAAGTGAACAGAAATCGTATTGGATATGTTGACTACGATAGAATTGAAGGCATTGAAGGAGTTATTGTTTCTAATGTTGTTGCAAACGATCATTCGAAAGATCGTAAGAAATTGAAAACTCAAATAACACATAACGATGGTGGGGAATGGTCGTACATTACACCACCTGTTATTGATTCTAATGGGAAAAAATATAAATGTAACGGCAAGTCATTATCGAAATGCTCCTTGAACTTACATGGATTCACTGAAAGGGTCGATTATCGGGATACATTTTCATCAGCATCTGCTATCGGTCTAATGATGGCGGTAGGTAATGTTGGTGAGTATCTAGAAGATTTTGATAAATGTTCTACATTTATTTCAAGGGATGGCGGTATTACCTGGAAAGAAATTAAAAAGGGTGTTTACATGTGGGAATACGGCGATAGAGGGACAATTCTAGTTTTAGTAAATGCAGAAAAGACAACAGATAAGCTTATTTACTCTCTAGATGAAGGCGATACGTGGCATGAGTATAAGTTTGCCGAGGAATCTATTGACGTCTTAGACCTAGCTACTGTTCCTTCGGACACTTCGAGAAAATTCTTAATATTTGGAAAGAGTGATAGAAAAATGGTTTCTTACTCAATTGACTTTACTAATATCCATAAGAGACAATGCCAATTGGATCTCGACAATCCAAATGATGACGATTTCGAATATTGGTCACCTACACATCCTTCAACACCTGATAATTGCTTATTTGGTCGTGAAGCGAAGTATTTGCGTCGTGCTATTGGTCATAACGATTGTTTCATAGGAAGTGCTCCGTTAATAGAAGGCTTTAAGGTCACTAGAAATTGTTCATGTACGAGAAAAGATTATGAATGTGATTACAATTTCTTTAGGGATTCTGATGATACTTGTAAACTAGTTAAAGGGTTGTCCCCTTCAAATCGTAAAAAGGAGATGTGCAAGAAAGAAAATGCGTTTGAGTATTTTGAACCTACGGGATATAGAAAAATTCCATTATCGACTTGTGTCGGCGGAAAGAACTTTGACACTTGGAAAGTTCACCCATGTCCAGGAAAACAGAAGGAGTTTAACAAGCATCATGGAAAGGAATTTAACAGTGGTTCTCTTCTAGCTGTTATTGGTATCCCTATTGCTGTATTTTTATTGGCTACATGGTTTGTTTATGAAAGAGGTATTCGCCGTAATGGAGGATTCAAGAGATTTGGACAAATAAGACTAGACCTTGATGACGATGACTTTCATCCAATAGAAAATAATGAAGTGGATAAGGCAATCAATAAGATAGTCAAGGGCGGAATTATGATTGTGGCCGCATCAATTGCAGGCTTCAAGACGCTTAGAAAAGTTGATAGAATGTTGTTTGATAAAGTAACTTCTCTGCTTTTTCGTCGTCGCCCTGGCCATAGAAACTACGTGCATGTTCCAGAAATGGATGACGAAGAAGAAGAATTATTTGGTAATTTCCGTGATAATT